ACTGAGAGACCCCCGCCCCACGGAGAGACCCCCAGACCCACTGAGAGACCCCAGACCCACTGAGAAACTCCCAGACCCACTGAGAGACCCCCACCCACCCCAGAGCCCCCAAAACCCTCCTGTGGACACCCCAAACCGCCCCTTGTCCCCTGTGGTGTCCCAGCCCCGTGTCCCCAGGTGTCCCCAGGGTGTCCCCAGGGTGTCCCCAGGGTGTCCCCAGGGTGTCCCCACACCCCCAGGGTGTCCCCAGGTGTCCCCACACCCCCAGGGTGTCCCCAGGGTGTCCCCAGGTGTCCCCAGGGTGTCCCCAGGGTGTCCCCAGGGTGTCCCCACACCCCCAGGGTGTCCCCAGGTGTCCCCAGGGTGTCCCCAGGGTGTCCCCACACCCCCAGGGTGTCCCCAGGGTGTCCCCAGGGTGTCCCCAGGGTGTCCCCAGGCCCTGACCGCGCTGTCCCCGTGTCCCCAGGACATCAAGAACAAGCGGAACCCTCGGCTGGTCCCCTACAACCTCCTGGACGAGGGGACCAAGGCCACCAACCGCGAGAGCCTGTGCCAGGCCGTGCGGACCCTGCTGGGCTACGGCTACAACATCGAGCCCCCCGACCAGGAGACGCGTGAGTGGGGGCCAGGGGACAGCTGGGGACAGCTGGGGACACCTGGGGACACCTGGGGACACCTGGGAATCTTCTGGGGACGGCTGGGGACAGCTGGGGACACCTGGGAGGGTTTGGGAGGTCCCCTGGCCAGGAGACGCGTGAGTGGAGGCTCAGGGGTGCTCTGGGGACGTTTTGGGTCTCTCTGGGCGCCGTTTTTGGGGTCCCTGGGTGCAGTTTGGGGTCTCTGGGTGCAGTTTTTGGGGTCCCTGGGTGCAGGTTTTGGGGTTCAATGTCCCATTTTTGGGGTCCCTGAGTGCAGTTTTTGGGGTGCTGACCCCCCATCTCCCCCCCAGCCTCTCAGGGCTCAGTTCCCGGGGGTCCCCGAGCCCCCCGGCCGCGGCTGTTCCGGGCGGAGCGCAGCTCTGGGTGCAGTTTGGGGTCCCTGGGTGCAGTTTGGGGTCCCTGGGTGCAGTTTTTGGGGTCCCTGGGTGCAGTTTTTGGGGTGCTGACCCCCCATCTCCCCCCCAGCCTCTCAGGGGTCAGTTCCCGGGGGTCCCCGAGCCCCCCGGCCGCGGCTGTTCCGGGCGGAGCGCAGCTCGGCCGTGCGCAGCGGCCGTTGGTATTTCGAGTTCCAGGCCGTCACCCCCGGCGAGATGCGCGTGGGGTGGGCCCGGCCCGGGCTGCGCCCCGACACCGAGCTGGGCTCCGACGACATGGCCTTCGTCTTCAACGGGCACAGGGTGAGCTCGGGGACACCCAGGGGACACTGGGGACACTCAGGGGACACTGGGGACACTCAGGGACATGGGGGGACATGGGGGGACACTCAGGGACATTGGGGACACTCATGGGACACTCAGGGGACACTGGGGACACTCTGATGACATGGCCTTCGTCTTCAACGGGCACAGGGTGAGCTCGGGGACACTCAGGGGACACTGGGGACACTCATGGGACACTGGGGACACTCAGGGACATTGGGGACACTCATGGGACACTGGGGACACTGGGGACACTCAGGGACATGGCCTTCGTCTTCAACGGGCACAGGGTGAGCTCGGGGGACACTCAGGGGACATTGGGGACACTGAGGGGACACTGGGGACACTGGGGACACTGGGGACACTCAGGGACATTGGGGAACACTCAGGGACATGGCCTTCGTCTTCAACGGGCACAGGGTGAGCTCGGGGGACACTGGGGACACTCAGGGACATGGGGGGGCACAGGGGTCACCCAGGGGACGTTTGGGCAGCCCTGGCAGTGGAGGGACATTGTGTGACCCCTGTGTGACCCCTGTGACCCCTGTGTGACTCCCATGTCCCCC